CGGCTTCGTGACTTGACAGAGATCGAATGCACGCTGGATGTGACGTCAGAAGAAACTCAGTCTGTCCACCTCTCTATCAGTAACGTTTCAACGGCGTCGTATCACACCTTTGAAGTACGTGTTCTTAAAGGCTAAAATTATGAAGCCGAATACATTTTCGTGAAATGGGGCTTATGTGTGTTTGGAAGAGAAGGGTAGATTCTTTAAAGGGATTATTATTGTTTGCAACTTTATGTTGACTGACACTAGAATCTATCAATAAATCAACATTAGCAACAATTAGATAGATAACAATGGCAATGGTTAAATGGTTGATGTTCTTCCTTCCGATAACAGTTATAGAAGGAAAATGGGCTTGATCCAGTGGTTCCCAACCCTTTTCATTCTTTGACCACCGACCATTATATAATAATTTCTATGGCCCCGTTCAGTGACTCATCTTTTCAGATTCGGTCATTTCTAGTTATGAATAGTGTAAGGGTGTCAATAGCTATAGGACGGGAACACTTTAAGGAAAGATTCCAATTTATTGATATGTGAGAGATAGTTATATGTAGGTACTGTAGGTGAGATAGAAAGTATAATTCGACGTCATAATCTTCAAGTTGCTCCATAGCCCCTAAGTTGAGACCCCCCTGCTCTAAACAAAGCCTCGCGTGTCCTAACACTCCCCCCTCCCCCTCAGCTGGAGAACGTGTGGGGCCACATCAACCTCATCGCCAAGGGCTCGGGTCAGGCGGTGGCTCAGCTGGACGTCTCTTGGGGCGTGGACGTCCTCAGGTTCATCGAGCAGCCGCACAAGAAGTACTTCGACCTCAGCGTCGTCGAGAGATACCACCAGTTCAGGAACAAGTCGCTCATCACCACCACTGTTTGCGCGCAGTAAGATAGATTTTTAGGTCTTGTTTTGCTACGTGTTTTTACATAATTATTTTTTTTTTCGTAAATCTAATATAGAAGCGTTTCCATACGCTTTCACTTTTTTTTTTTTTTTTTTTTTTTTGCTATGTCTTATTTATATATATATATATTTTTTTTTCGTAAATCTAATATAGAAGCATTTCCATACCCTTTCACATAAAGGGACGACGGAATTCTTGATTTGTTGTGCTTAGTATTCTCTTTCTGTACATAAGAATGCAAAACTAGTGCAATTCTTCTTTGCAGATGGTTAGCTACAGAAGACAGTCACACAAGCCACGCCGCGCTGGTGGAAATCGAAATCCCAACCGGTTATATTTTCTTCCAACCCATTGCTGAAGTCACTGCTTTAGGAATCAAAGAAAACGGCACCTTCCCGGAAGTACGAAACGTCCATACGACGAACACGCACGTCTTCTGGCAGTTTGAATATGTAAGATTATATGTTTTTGTTGGGTAGAATTAATGTTTCAAAGTTTGTATACATGTACTAGCTTCTTTTGAGATTATCTACAGAACTCTTTGAGGTAAATGATGATATGTTTTTTGTAGTGTACTTGCAGTGTACTTTTAGGTTAAAACACATGATCGTGTTCAAAACTCATAATCCAAACTAGCACTTCCCAAACGTTTTCTTTGTGACGTCCCCTTTTAACTTTCCATTGGCAATATTCTTATTTAATTATTTAGGATTTATTTTATTTTATTTATTCATTCATTCATTTATTAATTCATTTATCTGTTGTGTGTGTGTGTGCGCGCGCGCGTGTGTGTGTTTGCTTTCAGTCATAGATTGATTCATGCCCCACCCCTGTATCTAGTTTGGTAACCACGGCTCTAAACAAGCAAACAATGACAGAGGTTTAATACCTTTCAGATACCATCGACCAAGAAGCAGTGTTTCAGCTACGACATCCAGCGCTGGTATCCCGCAGCCAATCTAACAGCTGTTCGCTCCGCCACGATAATGGAATTATTTGCTCCAGGTAAGCCAACTAAATCTCATCGAAGGTGCTTTTTCTGCTTAATGCAATTTGCATTTCATTTGATTCTGGTGTTGTTTTAAATCCATTTGTAGTTGATCTAAGTGATCTGATAGTTATATTACAAACGAACAGGCATGTAGATATAAATAAACTTAATTTCTCATGATGTAACGAAAGAGCGTAGTTTACAGTATCCAAAATCGACTGCAATTATTAAACTCATTTCTGATATTTCTATATATTTCTTGATGTGTATAATACTATTCATATAACCAAAACTAGCCATATTAGCAAAAATATGATAATTATATAGATAATTTTAATGGTGATGGCGATGTTTATGTTTATGATCACCATCAATAAAATGACAGGGATAGGAATAAATAAATAAATAAAAACTGCTATCTTAGCTGCTTTTTTCACGACGATACAAGGATATATAAAGATAATGATATCGCCAACAGCAAGAATGACGACAACCCAAACCATATATATATATATATATATATATATATATATATATATATATATATATAATATATATATATATATATATATACAAAAATAATCGATACTAAATCCACTACTTTCCAACATACTCCACATATCCAACGCCTCATAACGTTCACTGTATTTCTCCTCCTTCCCAGAACACTTCGAGATGGTGATGATCAACGCCACGCCCCTCGCCCTGCTGGACATCTGCGAAGTCTGCGGTTCCTACCAGTGTCCCTATTGCCCCATATACAGCGGTCGGTCAACGTGTGTTTGCGCCGTGTTCTATCTCTATGTGGTTTCTCTCCTGGTCGTTCTGTCGGTGTATGCGAGGAGTGATGTGATATTATAGCACTGATTGTTGCAGTGTTGTTGGATTTTGATTGTGCCATGATGTTTTTTTTTTTTTTTTTGTATTCGTTGTCATTTTTTATTTAGGATAAGATGTGATAAGATATATTTGAGATGTGTTGTATGCTTTGTTTTTCTTTTGTTTTTAAAGTAAAATCACGTTTGTTGTTAGTATCATGTACTGGTGTTATTTTGTGGTTTGGATATTACTGTTACTAGCGTCAGTTGCAGATCCGTGTCTGACGTTTTATCGGTTACAGTGAAACAACAATACCGGTAATGATGCTAGCAATAATAGTAACAATAGCAAAAATTGGCAATAAACAAAATGATAACAGTGACAGTAATATCCCAAACAATTTATGTTTTAGTACCAGATAAAACAACAAGAAAATTTGTTAAGAGGCATACATGACATATTTGTTATATATATCATTTATACCAGTGAGACACAACTTATATAATTATATATATTTGCATTTATCATAAGAGCTATTTTATCGCGAATACCCAAAGGCATATTGCGATAAGAGAGAATTTTCGATATCTTCCAATATTTCTCATTTATCACAATATTTACATATACAGAAATATACATTTCCACGAGCCTACACCTTCACCACGAACATCCTCATCTGCAAATATCACTCTCTGACTGTGATGAACCTCTAGTGCATTTTCCCATTTAATTCACTGGAGATCGAACCTGATCATGATGCTGTGGATTGATTGATGATAAGTGAGAAGGATAGAAATTAGCTTCATTTGCATTCGAACTATAATAATATGAAAATGATTTTATATACATATGCATAATAAGTTAAAAATCGTAAATCACATTTTCATATATACCTCTTTTGCATCTTAAGTGTTTTACTAATTTCTGTATGTATCAAACTGCTCATGTTTTCAAAGAAAAGCAGTTCAGTGTTTAGTTACCAGATCAAAGCAATTTATCAGCAGTATCATTACGTTCACTGTCTTCAGTAATGCCCCTTTCGTTGGTATTACTTCAGAAATCCATATTATGTCAAAATTAATTACCATATGTACGAGGGCGTGTCATATATCTTCGGGTATTCCTTACTGTTCCTCAAAACAGAGCCAGTCAGAATGTTACATGCCTGACAAAACAGTGTACCAAATGCAAGGTCCGTATTTTAAAATGACGTGTATTTTTTTCCACAGGAAGCTTATATATTTCAATCAGCGTAAACCTTCAGCTGGATGCAAAAAAAAAAAAGAAAAAAAAAAAAGACGTGAATTAAAATCACGTCGCCATGCCTTGTATATGCATATATAAGGCGTGTTTTATATGCCTTATGTGTTTTACTGTAGATTTCATCTGCTTAAACCTTCGCTCTCTATTAGCCCACATTGGGAGGCACTTATATGTAAGTGTTATTTCTTTAGCTGGAAATGTGTTTCTTGGTCTTTCATTAGTATAAGAATGATGTTTATGTGGACTGTACTTTTATATTTTGTTACAGTGTATATATCTATTTTTTCCAGCGATGATGATAGATAATAAAATTCGTAACACGTTAAGGCTTCGTCTCATTTCTGTCCTTTGGATTTTCCCTTCTGTGGCGTAGTTCGGATGAGATGTTTACAGTGATTTTTAAAATTTTGTTTGTTTGTTATTGATATCATTATAAACATACACCAACACGCTCACGCACCCACACACACACACAACACACACACACACACACACACACACACACACACACACATATATATATATATATATATATATATATATATATTATATATATATATTATATATATATATATGTATGTATATATATATATATATATATATATATATTATATTATATATTATCATATATATATATATATATATATCTATATATATATATATATATATATATATATATATATTATATATATATATATATATAGAGAGAGAGAGAGAGAGAGAGAGAGAGAGAGAGACAGACAGACAGACAGACAGAGAGATGATGAATCAAAACATCGTTGTCTGTCTCTGAGTTAGTTCCTTAAACGTTCAGTCCCACATGACACTAGGGAGATATAACTTGCTGGACCACAGGGATAACTTGACAAGAGGAATAACACTAATACTAGTTATTAGTATTTGTTCATATTTCTCCTTTGCACTCATTTTTCAAATAATTAAGAATGTGCAATATGATAATTATTGTCAAGGGTAATGGCTGACACATGAGTTTCCTATTTTTTATTTGTACTGATTACACAACT